CAATAAAAAAGACCCTTTAATATGTCTTGGTAACTTTCTTTTTTCAATTTTTTGATTGTTTTTCTGTGTCTTGTACTTTTAACAGTTTGACCAAAAATGCTATGGTAAAGATCTTTTCTGGGCATGTCTATTTGGGATTCTATGAACCTCCTTACATGAAAGCCCATATCTTTTCCCAGATTAGGAAAGTTTTCTACTATTATTTCATTGAATAATTTTTTTATGGCACGAGTTACTATCTTCTCACCTTTGGGTATTCCAAAAATGCTGATGTTTTTTCATTTAATGGTGTTCCAAAGGAGTCTTCAATACTCTCTTCATTATGTGTGTGTGTGTGTGTGTGGTTGTGTTGTTTGTGATATTTTTTAAAAACCTATGGTTGGAGTCAGATATTTTTTCTTCCTCTTAATCTAATATGCTAAGGAATTCAACTGTATTTTTATTAGAGAAACTCTTTCTATTCAAGCTGTGCAGCCAGGGTGGCAGGTGTTGGGGTGTTTTGTTTCTCTTTCTATGCAGTTGTCCCAGTCTTGAATCTTACAAGGTTCTAGCCTGTGTTCTTGATTTGCAGTGTTTTCCCCATGGCCACTCACCTCCAAATGCAGCTATATATTTGTTACTTTGGTTCTTCTTTGCAGAAAAGGTGAATGCTGGGTACCTTTGTTCTGCCATCTTGGATGTACCCATTGCAATCTTGCTTCTTGTCTTCCAGAAAGTACTCACTTTTCCTGTCTTTGTCCTAGAGATCTCCATAGTTGTAAGCATCATGAACTTAGTCTAGAAAGAGAGGAGCTGTACATCAGGAAGGTGCTTTGAGGTCTGGCCCAAACTCCCTCCTGAGATAGGCCATACAGTCTCTTTCTGAAGGTTTCTTATAAAATGCAAATTTCCAAGGCACAAGGCAACCCACTGTTGGGTAATTAGCATTTTAAGTACCCCTTTCCTATCAAAATGGAGTCTCCTATCTTGCCACTCTCGCAGCACTTTCCCTGCCTCCTATATTGCCAGTGGATAGTCAGATGCTGTCTCGACCATATTCCATCTCTCTAAACCTAGAAGAAAGCTACTGCCTGACTCTGGTTTCTCTAAAGAAGCCCAAATGAAAAATGTCCATTTTTTTCCTAATTACTCCTCATGTAACTTGACTTCTAGACTTCTGTATTTGGCTTCCCAGCAGCAAACACATTCTAGTTTATTAATGTCTCCCATAAAATGTGGCTTGTGTGCCAGATGAGGCCTGACCCATGCAGAGTCCTGTGGGGCACGGCTTCCAATGATTGCTTAAGGGTTTTTGTTTTGTTTTGTTTTGTTTTCTAGCTGCTGTGTCATGATCTTGGCTTACATTGAGCCTGACTTCAATAAAACCCCTGGATCTTTTCACAAGACTCCTGCCAAGCCACAGCTCCTCCTTCGGTGCTTGTGGAATTGATAGTTTTAAAAATAACATTCACATTTTCTCTTATTACCCAAGCAGTGCATAGTAATTGTAGAAAATCTTAAAGATGCAATTAGGTACACAGTTTTTAAAAATCAGCAGTGGTTCAGCTCTCTACCATGACTTGCAGCTGATCAATGCTTATCAAGAGGAGCAAACTCAAATCCCAACAGGGCCTTGGGAGGTATGATAAGGTGTGAAAAATAAGTGTTAGGAGGAAACAGAGGGCCTGAAGGTGCTGAGTGCCCCCAGCATGACTGTCATTAATCAGTTCCTGGTTCCTTCTTGCTCTATAGAAGTGAGGCTCCAAAAAACTAGAAACAAATATTGTAAATTTAAAAAGAGATTTTGTACGTGCAGAATTTCATGAATTTCCTTATTAAGCATTGGCATCTAATTGTGTTGGCCAAAGAATTCATGTCTTTGGATTTTCTTTAGTCCTTGACCTGCTGCTATGCGGTCCCTCTGCTCTATATCTATCCACTCATCCTTCCTCCTTTGCTCTGTCTCTCACAAAACAGATGTCCTGATCTCCTCTGTATTGTATGACGAGTGGCAGTGACCTGTGTCCACCTAAGTTAACTTGAGATATCTCTGCAGTGAGCCGCTCCTGTGGTCTCTCCTTGTCCCTTTTCCCCACTTCTCACTTTTTCTGTCTTCCACAGAGCTTTTTCTTCCCACTGAGCCTTGCTGGGGGAGGTCTCTGCCTAAGCTTCATTCCTTTCTCACAGGATCACCCCAAACCCAACATTTTTAAGAAGGCTTGGCCTGGCACCCTCTCTTTTGGCTATGTTCCCCACACTCATGCTGAGGAAAAACTCTACCCCTGGAGTGTGAAGGACTCACGTTCATGTCAGGTAAAAGGGCCGAAGACCAAGACCAGACCAGGCCACAGCAAGCCTTTATTAGGGGAATAGATCTGCCCGGCTGTCTCTGAGCAAAGGAGAGACAAAAGCAATATGCCTGGGGCAGGGAGAGTCTTTTATAGAGACTGGGGTGGGGTTTGTAGGGGCTGAGGTGGGGTTGAGTGAGGTAGTGACTAGGGAATGGAGGAGCCGGTGATGTCACTAGGTGGTAGGAGGTGAGCGAGTATTAGGTTACTTTCTAGGTGGGAACAGGGGCATACTGGGAAGAAGGGTTTATTCTTTGGTGGGAGCAACCATCTTGGCATGATGTCACACAGGGGAGGGGGCAAGGCACAATAGGAAGAGGGCAGCTATGATACATAATAGCTGCTGAGGTGGTGGGAGACCTATCAGTTCACACCCAGTTTTGCACGTTGCCAGCTATGTAGCTCTGTGGAAAATTGCTTTGACCTCTCTGATACTTACTTTTCACAGTCATGCAATTGGGAAAAAAAGGCTTCCTTGAAAAGCAGTTTAGGCGATTAATAATAAGGTACATGAAATACCTTAGGACATTGCAGCTGTGTGGAAATATTGTTGATTTTAATCATCACTGGCCACTTACAACTGTTCTCCCCAACCTGATTAGGAAATAGTGGCTATTCAAAAATATCCATTGGATAAGTGAATAAGGAAAAGAATGAACTAAGTGAAAAGTGATGAGCAGGCTAGAGGATACAAGTTGTCCCCCCCCTCATTTCAATGTATTATGTGCAGTTTAAAGTGAAAGCTAAAACATACAAACCACAGAAGTTTTAAATATAGTACTGACCAGTTTGTAAAAGACTGAATGATTGTTTTGCACACATCCTTCATCTTTAATTTTACATCTTGTCCTGTAGAGGTACTATTAACACACAATTCTGATTCCTTACAAACTTCTCCTACTTGTGGTTATAAGTGGGATCCAAGGAGAGACTCCCATCTGGGAGAGAAGCAGAGCTCTTACCCGAGGAGCTGTTTCTTTCCTAGCTAAGCCTATCTTGTTCCAAAGAAATGTTGGCATCGAAACAAGTGTCTCCTCAGAGTGGTGTTGGTTTTAATGATTAATTATTTAAGAGCTTGTGTATTCTGTGATTTTTTAAATATGTGGGAAACAGAATTCTCAGCTCAGCCTTCTGGGAAATGTTTTCTCTTGCTAGCGATTTGCCCCTGAGCTATCCAGTGACCGACCTTTTCCTGAATGCACGTTGCAGTGCCAAGTGCTGGGCAGGCACCCACTCTACCCAGAGGACAGGAGGGCCACAGGGTCTGCCAAATGTCATCCACACCCAGAGAGTGCTGCTGCTTTGGATGGGCCTCTAGTCTGTCTGTATGGTGTTCTGCAGCAAACTTCTGTCCCAGGACAGGATGGCGTGGGATCAAAATATACAGTAAATGTTTAAAAAAAATGCATTGCAGTGAAAGACACATTGCCATTAAATCCCCTCAAAACAGCTCTCTTTTACTTCAAATATACTTATCCCACCATTCTTGCTACTTTCTTAAGCAGTTCTGGATGTTCTCTTTTGTGAGTGTCTTTACAAGATGTGATTTAAAAAAAAATACAGTGAATGCTGCTGCTGAGTGCCATCCAAAGGAAAGTTAGGCTCCTAAAAACATGACAGTGTGTCCTCATCCACCTTATTCACTGGATCTGGCACTGTGCAATTTCCAGCTCTTCCCCAAAGTCAAAATGGCCATGGAAGTGAAACATTTTGAACCCATTCAGGACATGGAGGCAGCCAGGACAGCATAAGTAAAGTCACTCAGGAAAGGACTCCAGAGCTGCTTCAGAAAGGGGCAGGAATGATGAGGTAAGTGTGGTTAATGCAAGAGGGAAGATTATACATAAGATTCATGGCAATATGTCTTTTTCTGCGATAGGGTGTAGGAGACCAGAGGAGAATTGAGGCCTAATTGACCTCCTCTGAAAGCGCAAAAGAGAAAGGCTGCACTCAGGGGTGATTGCATATTGCAGGTTCTAGGGCAAAGTTAAGACAGCTGAGGTTGCCTTGTTTAGCAGAGAATGTAGTAGTGGATATTGGAAAGCGGATGAATCTTGTGTCATTTTGTTGCTATGCCAGTGTTTGGGTGAATAAAGGCAAGATGAGCCAGATACGTGTGGGGGGGGGGGTTCCCTTTGCCCTCTGCCTACTAAGAGGCAAGAGCCCCCTGGCTGCCTGCATGCTAGTTAAAGTGACTCCGTGTCTCTTTGTCATTCATCCTCATTTGACCCAGGGTCAGGGAGAAAAAAGTAGCGAGTTTGGTCCCTGAACAAAGCCAAGTGGGTGGATCAGCTACAGGTGGTGCCCCAAGGTAGGACTCTGGATGGGCTTGGGTACAATAGGACTTTTCTGCATATAGACAATCACCGTATTTTATGATCATACCTCACTTTTGTACATTTGTCAAAACTAAGAACAGTTCTAAATTAACTAAACTTTAGACTTCATTCAGATATCATCAAGTTTCCCACTAATGTCCTTCTCTCTTCCAGTATCCATCCTAAAATATGTACTACATCGCACTTAGTCTGCAAGCATTTCATTTTGAAGCTTCTTCATCACTTTACCCATCTAAATGCCACAGAGGATGAATCACTTATGTATAGACAATTTTTGTGCATAATAATAATAATCTTAGAATAGCATTTTCCAAGCTCTAACTATGTGCCAGACTCCATTCTAAGTGGTTCATATTTATTACCCATTCTATCATCACAAAAATTCTATAAGGTAAATACTCTTATTAGCTCCAATTTGTACACTTAACTAGTAAGAGGCAAGATTAAAACCCCAGGCAGTCAGACTTTTATGTTATATGTAAATGTGATGTTTAAGGATAAGCTGCCGAGATGTGAAGAGATTATTAGATGGCTGGTTTTAGTAGTATGTGATGGTGAAAGATAAGAGCAGAACTGAGGCTGTTCCTTCTAGCCTTCTTTTAGGGGCGTTCTATTTCCCATCCACCTGTTATAAATGGAAGAAGGGCCGTGTGACTTTGGCTAAGATAGAACTGAAGGTTCCAATGCCTTGTCCCAAGCTCCCTTCCCTTCTCCTGTACTACAGGGTTCGGTCCCCAGCCAGGGATATAAATGATAAATGAATGTGCTCGGTCACCATCTTTCCCTGTTGTCCTCTCTGCCTGCGGCACTCATGCTGGAAGAGCAGAGGTGTTGAAAGAATGAAAGCAGACTGGCAAGGGCACCCGGGCTTGAGGGGCAGGCTGGCGACTCTGACACTGGCCATTCTAAATGTGTCCCGGTCACAGTCACCAGGCTCAGCTAATTCACAATGGGGAGATTAGTACAACATTAAATAGCAGCAAAAGAAAGCATAAAATGCTACAAACTCAACTATTATCCTTTGAACTCACAATTTTTCTATTCTTCTCACTCTTCAACACAGTAGTCTGCAGGACCACTTTCCATTTGAAAATTCCTGTTGAACACAGACTCATTACCATAGACTTACAGTCAAGGCAGTGGCTGGGAAGTATTGCATAAATAGGCCTGCACTTTAAAAAATTACATCAGTGACGCCAAGGAGGTCAGAGGTAGAGATAGACAGGTTGCAAAAATAGCTTGTACCAAGATCCTCCCATCCATTCATTATTCATTCAGCAAACATGCTAGGTGCCTCTCTGGGCCAGACGTTGGAGCATGTCCCCTGTACCTAGAAAGGAAGAGCGAGATGAGACTAAACTGTCAATCAGGTGCTATCGTTCCTCTAAAGAAAATACTTAAGTATAGGGGTCTACACATTGCCAGCCATGACCCATTCGTGGTCCTTCAGTGAGCTCTACAGGTCGTAGGAGCAATAGCTGAAACAGCAGAGTAAACGGGAGAATCTGAGTCCCTCTCACTTGCTAGCGAGAAGGGTTCTTTCGTGACAGTTTCAGTTCAGTGACATAGTGGGTGTGTGTGTGTGTGTGTGTGTGTGTGTGTGTGTGTGTGTGTGTGCGGTTGTAAAATATATTTCTTATCGTGGGTTTTATCCAAAGAAGTTTGAGGAGCGTTGACCTGACATTCAGTGGGAATGGGAGACAAAGGTAGTAGATGTGTCTGTGACTCTGGAGCTAAGCCTGGAATTGTGGTCTCACCAACTGGGTCCTGAGACACAGGGTTCCCAGAACTAACAAGAGCATGCCCTGAGGGCACAGAGGGGCTGTCCTGCCTCGCCCCTAAAACCTGCACACTGTGCACCAGAGGCTGCAGTGGATCACTGCCCTCGTGTCCCCGCGGGCAGGACTTCTCACGATCCATGTGCACGCAGGTCACAGGGATTTGTGCTGTGCACGGTCTGACTCGGGAGGCCTGGGGCGGGGTCCTGACACAGCTTCCCAACAAGTCCCCCCGTGACAGTGAGGGTGCTGGGGCCAGGAGCCCCCTTTGGAGCGCCAGGCTCTGTTCTTGGAGGAGGAGATCGTAGCATTCCACACATAAAGTTCGGCCTTGGGCTGTCTGTGACCCCTGTGACCGCTGTGATCAGCCCCGATGCAGGAGGCCTTCTGGTGTGTGGGACACAGGAGTCACCAAACCAGGTCCCAACACCGATGTCCTGACACTGTCCCAAGTCGGTTATGGAGAAGCTCTCTGTGGAAGTCCGGGCCAAACCTGAAAGATAGGCACTTTCACAATTCCCCTTGAATATGCAAGGACACCCAGTGGGTTTGTAGAGAGCAGAGACAGGTGGAGAAGGATTCACAGCTCAAGCTCTTACTGATCTAGAGACACTGGGTCATTTGAGTGATGGGCTGAGATCACTCTCAGTCCTGTCTTTCAAGGACATATCTTCTTCCCCTCTGAAGCAGAAGTAGGTGGTTACTAAGGAAAGTAGCTACAACATAAATTTCACTAGGTGGTTTCAAAGATTAGCAGAAAAAAAATGATCAAGATATGGTGTACCTATGGATTGAGTCCCCAAAACAAATGGAAATAGCAAACATATACTAATGTTGCAAACATATACTAATAAAAACGGAGAAAAAGTTTAAAAGAATGCATATTAAACCCTCAGGATACTCTCTGACACAGTGGAAGGCCTATAAAATGTTAATCTCGGTTGAATCGTTGGTTCTGGAGTGGGAAATGTCAGCTGTTCTAGAAACAGACTTCCTCCTTCCTATGCCCCATAGAATTCCTGGTCTAGTTATGCAGCTGGCTGAGCAGATGTGGGGGCCTGGGGGTGTTGTGTAGTATTGGGGGTCATTTTTTGCTCTCCCTTTTGCTTGGATATGGCTTTTGGATTATTTTTTAAGGAGATAGAAGCAAAAGTTTCTTTTTCTTTTCTTGGCCAGAGAGCTGAATCCCATTATGGCTGTGGACGTTACCTTGTCCTTTGGGATGTTCCTGGTGACAACTGGAGGGATGTCCCCAGCACATCACAAGGGCACCTTAGCCTCACCCAGAAATGGGGCCTCAATGCCACCAATCCAAAGCATAATGGGTTGCTGGGATCCATACTTTCTCATTTTTTTCTCCCCTTGTAAGTATTGTCGGGGCGGGGGGGGGGGTCCTTTCAAAAACAGTGTGTTTTTCTCTAAAATATACACAAGTCCTTGATGGTGTTTGTTGAGATTAGGTATATTAATTCCTCTGAAAGGTTTAAATACTCCTAGATTACTTTCCTCTTATAGGAAAAATAGAGTGCCCTAATCCTTTTCTTCTTTCAATATTCACGTCAAAATTCTGGTCAGTTACTGTTATTGCTATTTTTATTGTTATTATTAGCCACACCAGTCCTTAGCTTGCTGGGTGCCAAAAAATGTTTCAGTGAGTACAGGGATTAAAGTCAATGAGCTATCACCTAACTGAAGTTTGGTTTGGGGGCAAGTAAGCATGAAATGAAATAAAATTTAATTTATAAGAATTAAAACTCTAACTTATCAGCTTTGGTTCTTGGTGTATGAGCCTGAGATGCAATGAAGTTTCAGTTTTTCACTGTTAAGTATGGAAAAGGCTGAATAGCTCTTAACCAACTGGCAAATCTTCTCACCAGGGAGTAGAGAGGAGTATTTTTATCAAATTCTAGAATGTTAGATCTGGAAAGGACTGTAATGATTTAGAAACCATTCATCTCCCTTTTACAAATGCAGAAACAGAGGTCCAGAGAAATTGGTCTGATGTCACAGAGTGAATCAGTTAATGGCAAAGGGAAATTAGATGTTTGATTTGCACTTTATCAGCTGCAATTTTATTTATAATATTTATTCCATGTTCTTCTCCAAACTGTTATGCTAGGTATAGTAGGGAAGGTGGCTGCAGCTGTCTTGAAGTTGAAACCACAGATTGTGTAATGTTTCCAAATTTGAGTAAGAGCATATCAGAGCTTAGGGTAGAAGCACTTTTGGTTATCTAGTTCAGCAATCTTGTTATCAATAATCATGTTCCCCGGAGTTCTGAATGTCTGGGCAGCTCCAGTCTGCATAGCAAAGGGAGAAAAGGTTTCATTTGGCCTGGGTGTTCGCTGAGCAGCAATTTTGTCCTCCCGTGAAGTGGCACTCACCGCATATATGATGTGTGTTCACGTGCACATGTGTGCTTGTTTGGAAGAGGGCTCCTGACTTGGACACAACCCTGTCCCACCAAGACATTGCCACGCTCCCAGAATCCCCAGTTTCATGTTGGGTGGTTGCCACATTTCCCATGACTGTCCACGTAGCCCATCTGAAATGCTATTTCAGAGTGTTCTAAATCAGTTTTGTGTCTTGGCAGAGGACTGGAACCCTCTTTTCTAATATTACCTCTGTGGGAAAGTGTTTCTGAGCTCTAAGCAACTCAACTTACAAACACAGTTTTGGAATATGACCCACTTCTGTGCTGAGGGCTGTCTACTGGGGAGGAGGAGATGCTTTGCATGTGCAGTTTGGTGGAACCAACTACATGCAGTTCTTATACTGATTTTATGTTTTTGAAAAATCATGTAATATATGTAAACTCTGGAGCACACTCTGGCTTTCATCCAGAAACGTTGGCAGTTCCTCTATGAGGCAGGATTTAAGAATCAAATGAGACCCCTATGCTCATGGATGCCTTCAACCAAGGCCTCGTGGGGTCATCTGAAATTGTCAGTATCAATTAAAGCAGAGGGTACAGGTGTGCAGAACCAGTAGGTTGGGCACAACTTTTTGTTAAAACCAGGTTTTTATTTTTGATTTTTTGAAAATACAGATTCTCAGACCCCACTCCTGGAGATTCTCATTCAGTGGGTAAAGGATAGGATTCTCTAATCTGCATTTTCTAAAACTCTTCAGAAAATTCTCGTCAAGTTACCTCTGAGTCATGACATTTATTGATTCACTGATCAATTTAGTCAATTATTCATTATTTCCTTGTATTCTGAAGTTTGCTCATTGCAATGGAGGGAGTGGGTACTAGGAACAGAAAGACAGGAAGAACCCACACATCCTGAAAGAAAGAGGTGTGGCAGATGCTGATATTGTCTGGTGGGATTTAGGGGCTTGACTCCGGAAAGGCTTTCCAGAAGCATGTGTTCCAGATGAGAGCAGCTGAGCCCTAGCATATCTACATGGCCGAGCCAGATACGGGGTCAAAGCCAGCTCTACCCCTCACCAGTGGGGACCTCTGCCAAGGCGCTTGACCTTCTTGTGTCTCAATGTTCTCATCGGAAAGTGGTGCAATCTGAGGACCTCGTGTGAGGGCTGCTGTGTAGGTTGTATGTGTTGATATAGAAAATGTGCTTAGAATGGTGGCCTCAAAGTTCAGCATATGTCAGAATCTCCTTAAAGTGCTTTTCAAATACAGGTTTCTTGATTCTCCCTCCATGTTTCTCAGTTAAAATATCCAGAATGTGTCCAAGAATTTGTATATCCAAAAATTTCCCAGAGGACATCAGGGAGCCCTGAGAGCAGGAGGAAGCTCCAGGGTAGGGGACACTTAAGAGGGGACAGCATGGCCTATGGTGTCCTATCCACGTGTCCCAGAGGACCTATTAACAGCCATTAACACCTTTGGTTAAATTAAACAGAGCCCTTGCCCAGCCCCAGGGAATCTGACTCCCATCAGGCAAATTCTGATGCCCCCCATAGACTGCTGCTCCTTCTTCAGAAATCAACCTACACCAATGAGTCATAGGCATCCATGGGCACTTGGTCATGCCATTCAGTGGAGAGACTCACCTCACCACAGGACCTGTGGTTCTCAGTCACTCCTGGAATCACCTGTCAGCACCTGTGCGCTTATGCTGCCAAGCCCCAAACACTTCCCTGAGACTCAAAATATGCAATAAAACCACAGAGCTCATAATGTCCTATCCATCTATCTGTCTATCTCTTTATTCACCTAATTTCCCACACTATAAATGACAAAATATTTATTAGGTGTACCTATTTTCATTCTATAGACAGTCCAAAGAGCATTAAAAACAAACACAAACCATCCATATTTTTGGTTGTTTGTTTTGTGATTTCTTTACCCCCTCTTGGGGAGACAAACAATGCAGGAGCTTCAGTTTAGCAGGCAATTCTTGTACCATAGCCCGCACACACTCTTGCTCTGGGACAGAGTCAGGACGGCTTAGCTGCCCCATGGCTGTCCCTGTGTGTATTGGCACTGCCAAGACTTTAACTGTAACTCTTCGTGCTGTGGACACGGCCGAGCCAGATCAGATCCAGAGGAGCCCTGTGGCTTCATCTTGGCATGGAGAGCAGGGGCTGCTGGGAAGGCAGAGGAGACTATTTTGGGCATGGCATGCGGTGGCAAATGGAAACAGGGAAACCAGAGACAGGCAGTTTTCCTCTGCCATCTGAACAATATGATGTGTCACGCTGAAAGGAAGAGGGAGCGTTCCATGCTGGGATACTGCTCCTCTGCTGATCAAAACAGGAGGAGGAAGAGGAGGCTGGGGTATAGAGAAAATACTCTGGTAGGTAGGATTTACAAACAGAAAGCCTAATGATTGACTTTTTTTAATAACCAAAAATAGAAAAATGCAAAATAGCTTTAGTTTTTGTTCATTTCTCTTGTCTTACAGGTACAAGATTTATTAATTTGCTCAAGCTAAGAAAGCTGTACTTTGTATAGCGTCACTCTAAAGCACAGCTCTGCTTCCCAGAACTCTCCCCAGATCACTGAAGCCAAGTCCAAATCCTGCAAGAACGATTCCTTCTGTCCCCTTATGATAATGTCCCTCCCTGCCACAGTGTGCTTTCCCTTCTCTATAGGAGTGACAAACTTAACTCAGTGGGCTCCAGCCTCTGCCCGGTGAACACTTCAGATTCCTTGAGATTTATATATGCAGCCTTCTCTTCTTGACCTTAGTATTTTTTAGGGAGTTTATATGTTCTTCGGTTTTTTGTTTTTTGTTTTTGGTTTGGTTTTGTGTTTTCCTGTCCTTTCCAGGAAAATCTCCACAGCAATTGAGAGCAACTAAAAATTCTAAAAATCACTCACCCTTTGCCCTGCTTTGGTGGCCCAGCCTCAGCTCAATGTTTTAGATGTGTTTCTTCCTTCATTTCCAGTTTCACAGGAAATAGAGAAAATCCAGAATTAATACACATGGTAGCCTCCATGGTCAGTCTAGATATCTAGCCTGCTCTAGCTTATTTTAACTTTAAATCCAGCTCTTATTTATTTATTTATATTTATTTATTCATACTTAAGGCACAGACTGGGGCATAAAGGAAAAAAAAGCAGCTTTTTCCTATTAGTCTTAATGTCTGTTGGCTCTCACACAGGTCTTCTGGCAGTACATGCGGCACCAGGTGGGCTGGCTCCATGCAGGGAGGAGAACAGTTATGGGATGGAACCAGGAAGACTAGACTTTCACTCTCCACAGACTTGCACTGTGACCTTGGGAAAGCTGTATCCTTTAAACCCAAAATCTTTATAAATAATTAAACACTTATTGAAAATCTACTCCACGCTGGGTAGCCAGATAAATTGCTAGCCTTGCCCTTCAGGTAGTTTTTAAATGATACAGTGTAGCAAGCATTATGCAGGGACATGAAAAATAATGCCAGGAATTGGGGAAGAGGAAGATCTGTCCTACTCTGCATACTCGCAGAAAGGCAAATCTGAGGAAATATTTCTCTAGAAATTATATGCCCTGTAAGACTGAGGGCCACGTCTTACTTGTTGCTATATTCCTAACACCTACAGCAACTCAGTGGTATTGGGTAGTAATTGCAGGAGAACTACAGAGACAAAGAGTAGTGGTTGCCAGAGGCTAGTGTGAGGAGTGAGATAAATGGGTAGAGCTTGGAGGATTTTCAGGGTAAGGAATCTATTCTGTATGATACTATAATTGTGAACATATGTTATCACACATTGGTCAAAACTCATAGATGGTATAACACCAAGAGTGAACTCCAATTAAATTACAGTCTTTGGTTAATATGCTTTTGAATAATATTATGCATCCATGTAGGTTCATGCACCATAATGTAGGACTTTGATTCTAAGGGAAGCTGTGTACACAAAGAGGCAAAGGGTACATGGGAACCCTCTACACTTTCTGATAGAATCTTTCTGTAAGCCTAAAACTGCTCTTTAAAAATAAGGTTTGTTTTTTAAAATAGGCATAGGACATAAAGAGACCTTTCTCCAAAGAAGATATCCAAATGTCCAATAAGTAAAGGAAAGCTAATCCATTTCATTAGTCATGAGGGAAATCCAAATAAAAAGCACAATGAGAAATCACTTTACACCACTAAGACAGGTATATTTTTAAAAAAGGAAAAAAACCCCTAAGTATTGGTGATGATAGGAAGAATTAGAACTCTCTTCTGTTGCGGTAAGAATGTAAAATGTTAGAGAAAAAGTTTGGCCATTCATCAAAAGATTAAACATGGAATTACCATACTACCAGGCACTTCCAATCAAGGTATTAGGTGAATTAAAAGACATCCAAAAAATACACCTGTACATGCACATCCATAGCAGCATCAGTTGTAATAGCCTAAAGCCATCAACTGATGAATACATAAAGTGTGGTGCACCCGGACAATGAGACATTCTTTAGCCATGAAAAGAACATATATAGGCTGATGCACTGCTATAACATAGATAAACCTTAAAAACACCATGTGGAACATGAGAGGTCACATAGCATATGAATTCATTTATCAGGAATGTTTAGCATAAGTAAAGCCAGAAGCAGAAATCAGAACACTGGTTGTCAAGGAAGTGGGATAGAGTGGGGGATGGAAATGACTGTGTCATGGGGATGGAGCTTCCTTTGGAGGTGATGAAAATTTTCTAGAATTAGACAATAGTGATTGTACAATACCATGTGGGTACCACAACTCCGCTGCATAATTAAATAATTAAAATGATGAGTTTTACAGTATGTGAATTTTACTGCAATTTAAACTTTTTTAAACGTTCAAACCAGGTAAAGATGTGAGAAAATACTTAACTCATAAAGTTACCATCACTATGTGTACAATAACCCAGGTTCATTAAAAATAAACTAGCTGGGCTGGGGATTTAGCTTAGTGGTTCTGGCGCCTGCCTCACAAGTGCAAGATCCTGAGTTCGATTCCAGGTACTCCCCCCCACAAAAAAATAAATAAGAACTAGCTGTCTATAGATAATCTCAGAGGCATGTAACCCATATAAATTCAAGTTGCCTTGGGAGCCAGTCTCAGCGAAGTGTTAGCCACAAGAGTAGCAAAAAACAGTAACCTAGACTCAAAATAATATGACATTTTTAATCTCTTAGGATAATCCCTTAACAAGTGAAAAGAAGTTTACCTCCATCCTGTCATATGAAACCATTGAGTGCGGTCTAATCTAATGCAGAGTCCAAATCCAGTCTGGGCTGAATTTAGCTTTTCTATCTGTTCCTTTGGGCAAGTCATTTATTTAACCTTTCTGTGCTTTATTTTCTATAGGCTAATTATAGTACAGTGGGCCCTTGACTTACAAACTCGATGGGGTCCCGAGGGCTGGTTGTAACTCAAGTCAGCTTTAAGTCAATACTGCTGAGATCTGAATGTTTACCTGGGTACACGCTCTAGATAACAAGAGACAGATGACTCTTCCATTAACCTAATTAACCTAAGTTGTTTGTATGTTTGTCAGGTTGGTCATAACTTGAGGGTCCAATGGACCTATGCTACCTAACAGGGCTGCTGAGGGTTAAATACATTAGCGGAGCTTGGCACATCCTAAGCCCTCCACAAATGTTCACAAGCAAAGCCTGTCTTCTCGTTCCCTGTCACCCTCAATCCCTGGCACCTGTTAACCTTCCTGCTTTTGCCCCTAACCCTACCCAAATCATCGCCATGAAGTCTGCTTCCATTACCATTTAGGTAGCTAGTAACTTTTGCTTTTTCTGAGACAAACCCAGTAAGGCCACCGTGGTCCCCTTCTTTCCTTCTTTCCTCTTCCTTCCATCCTCCATAGGAGCTCAGCACTCAGAATTTCCCTTGGCAGGAAAAGGAGGAATTGGTGGCTTGGCTATGTGAACTCATGGGGAGCCCCTAGCAGGGCGAACATAACCCATGTGAGTTGGGAAATGGCCAAGTTCCATTCTGCAGCATCTCACAAGTGTCACTGTGTGGCTGGCATTGCACTAAAGGCGTCACACATCATCTCATTCAAATTTTGTTCTTCCCCAGATTTGCAAAAACATCCACAATGAATATGATACTTCTATAACCAGAACATTTTACCTTCTATAAACATGTATTCACAAAATATAGGTGCTATTAGGATGACAGTCAATTTGAAGATTGTAGGAACTATAGTAGCTATTTATTTACTTATTTATTTGAGACAGGGTCTCAGTATATAGTTTAGGCTAGTCTTGAACTCACATGTGGTCTAGATTGGCCTCGGACTCATGGTGATCCTCCTGGCTCCCGAGTGCTAGGATTACAGGTGTGCGCCATCACACTAGGCTTTATGGCTGTTTAAAGTGTGGAAGATGTTTTACCTGGAAAGGGGAGTCCTGGTGGAGTAAGACACCACAGCCATCTTCAGCTTTCTGAAAGACAAGGGGAAGAGAACTTGAACTCGGTTCTGGGGCCATTTCAAAAGGTGAGTTCTAAGCACTGAGAGAAAATTCTAGGGAAGGAAGTTTTTGCTCCATATAATAACGTTCTTTAAAAAACTCTTCCAAATGGGAATTTATCTAAATCAACAAGTATTATGGATCTCGAAAAAGACTGGAGAAGTCTAAGATCATTTTTAACTCTGAAAATGTTTATTTGACACTGTTTATAGTAAAGCGGGCCAATCAGTAGAATGAGAGGGTTCGTGCGTGCGTGCGTGTGTGTGTGTGCGTGTGTGTGTGTGTGTGTGTGTGTGTGTGTGTATGTTGTCTGGGTAAGTGAGGAATAACTGATGCTTATGGGCTGCTTCGTTGCAATGCTAATCTTATTATTAAGTAACAGTGAGGCTTTGCAGGAGGGGCCTGTTTTTGCAGCAATTAGGGAGATGACAGCCACAGGACTGTCAAGGCTGCTGTCCCCGCTCAGGTGAGTTACACCGCAGCACCCTCCTGGGGCGGCTCCCTATTAGGGTCGTTTGCATAATTCCTTCCCTGCCCGAGGCTCGCCGGCCGGCCGTGCCCTGGGAGCCGGTCTTCCTGATCCTCCAGTCGCTCTCTTCAGAGTAAATCCTCTGCCGGTTCACTTTCTCGGGCACTGATCTTCCCGGATTGCTTCGCCTCGCTCCCAGCCTCCCCGCGCCGCCGGCTGTCACAGACAGAGTCCTTGTCGCCTAGCGAGTGCTCAGCTTCCCATCTCAGACGCACAGTGGGTCCCTCGGGTAGGTACCACGGTCCCTGCCGCCCCGACCCCGACCCCCGGAAGCCTGATGGCGCTGGGTTTGTTTGGAGCAGCCCGGGCGGCACTGGGGGGCGCTGGGGGCGCCGTCTCCACCGCCTCCACCGCCGTCTCCACCGCGCGAGGCCTCCGAGCTGCTGCGTCCGGGTGTGCCGGGGCGGACGGGGGTGCGGCCACCGCGGACCCCTGGAGAGCGCAAAGGGGACGTGGCCAGGACTCTCGGACTCCGCCCCGACCCTGCCGGACCCCCGGATCCCTGAACCCCCGGGACCCCAGGTGAGCGCACCGGACCCCTCTTCCCTGTGCACGCACAGCTGACCCGCGGGTCAGTGGCTGTGACGGTGACGGAAACGCAGCCTCGCGCCAGGTCTGGGGTCTCGGGGTCCCGGGACGGCTCCTGGGGTCAGGTGCGGAGGTCCCGTGGGAGGTCTTGGCCCACCCTCCAGGGGGCGCAGCTTTCCGGAGCCCTCGCCTCACCGTTCCGGGCCCGGCTCGCGTCCCCCTGGTGGCAGCAGGTGCGGGGAGCTCGGTGGGCTTGGATGGTGGGGCGAGGCTCGCACTTGGAAACCCCGCCCAGGCTCCCGCCCAAATCGGGGCTCTGGCCCCTACAAATTACCCGGCTGGACGCAGGCGGAGGGCGCTGCACGGCCGAGGGGTCCTGGGCGCCTCGAACCCGCCTACCGCTGGGCCTGGGGTTTATTCTAGTTTAGGATTTATTCTGGGTACACTGTCTGTCCTGTCCCCACGGATGCAGCAGAGGGTGGCTTGGACACCTCCCTGCGCTTTGCAGGGAAGGGACGAGGGTCCAGGAGTGTCTAATGAGTGCACTGCCTGGCTGGTTGTGTGTGTGTTTGTGTGTGTGTGTCTTGTTTTGGTGGGAAAAACATTTTCTGGGCTCCTTTGGATCAAATATCCCCCATTTTTCTGCGCGTGCAGATGAAAGGGATGCGACAACTTTCAGCTCCCACCTGGTCCCCTCCAGCTGGAGCCACACTGAGGCAGGCTGAGGCTTGAGGAAAGTAGGACATTGATGACGTCCAGCTCAACTTCCACGCCAGTACCACCTCAGTGACACCGACTTCAAGACTCGGGGCAGATGTGGCACAGCCACAGGGTGACACTTGCTAGCCAGCCTCCTACATCTGCTGGCACAGGGACACTCGGAAGCTGGAGGCTGAGAAGCAGCTGAAAGCTGACTGGGGCCGGCAGGGAGTGGACATTTGGCTGATTTCAGTGCAGCCATTGATTTCCTGAGCCTCAGAGCTATTATATTAAGTATGATCAGTCTTTGATTTCAATTCATGTAAAATTCGAGCAGTGCTTTGCTTTCCAGTCGACTGCAAATCAAATCAGCATTTGTTGAGCAACTATTGCCTGAGTCCAGGCCTAGATTGTCCTGAATCAAAGGGACAGGATGTCAAAAGCATTGAAAATGCCTAGTGCACACGGCTCCTGGGGAGCCTGGGACCAAATGGCCCTTTCCTCGGGGACGAGCATTTAACAGACCAAATGGGGACTGTGGGCTCCTCGGGTGCAACTCTTCATCACACGCTTTGAAGAGCCACTTGCATACGTGTTTGCACATAGTCATAACGAGTGCATACTCTTTTACAAGACCAACTCTGACCCCAGGGAGATCTTGTCTTCTGTGCCATCCACTCAACCGATGCCACTGACTGTGCCAGGGCTCAAAAGAATGCGGTCCATATTCCCCAGAATGGAAGGATGAGGGCATAGAGGATAATGACTCTGAGTGGTGAGCGTTTAGTGCTGATAAAAGCAAGTAGTGGGAGCCCAGGGAAGGCAGGGTGGCAGGGATGGGAAGAGTCTGCAGCAGGCACAGGTTTGGACTGGATCCTAGGGAGTGGTCAGAGCTCCCAGAGCAGGCGCTGGGCGTCCCACATAGAAAGGTCACCTAGGGGTCTGAGGTGTGGGTTTCAGGGAGTCGGAGGAGGTTGCACTCAGCTCAGATCAGCCTCCGCCTTGCCCTGCAGGAGGAACCCTGCAGACCTTATGAGAGAATGATTTAATCTAATGGATAATTTGAAAAATGACTCTGTAGGTGGTGAGGAGGTAGGGTTGCAAAAAGAAATGAACTCAGCTTGGAGTGGGACAGGCAAAGAAGAAAAAGAAAAAGCCATAAGATACCAGAACCAAGAGACAGTGCAGAAGGGGAGAGAGATCTACAGAGACCTGTGCAGAGGGAGAATCCATGGTACTTGGTCACCAGGCGAGCAGGGCACTGGGAAGAAGAGTTTAGGTATTGAGAAGGCTGCTCAGGCTTTTAGCTGAATTAGAGAGCAAAAGGGAAAGAGCAAGTTTGAGAAAGATGGGAAATTTTTATTTTGAATATCTGAATGAAATTGCTCAGTAGGCACTTGTATTTCTTCCTACCTGGCGCTTACCCTTGCCTGAGGTTCCTTACCTGCGACCTTTGAAGAAGGAGAAGGTGAACCAGGGAGCAGGAAGTTGTTTCTGGTTTTATGTCCAAGAGTGAAGGTATTAACTCAGTCGTTCTGACTACAGATCCTGGCCATGAGTGAATAATGATAATAGTGTCTAACAGTCACTCAGGGCTTCCTATGCGCTGAGTACACAGAAGTTAGACTTGTCCATGGATTATTGCCTTGGTCCTGCTGGTAACTATGGCAGGCACTGCTGTCATTCTTACATAACTGAAAAGGAAACCAGGGGGAGGAGAAGGTGCCTGTTTGGGTCACTTGATCAGTAAGAGATTCCTCAACTCAATGTTGAAGCCCAGAGCTGACCAACACCCTGAATGGCTGGTGTGACTTACATAGTAACATTGAAATCATTCCTACTTAGCCTTGAATGTGTTTTGTCCCCATATTTGAGTATTTGTGGCTGATGCCATAGAATAGAATTGGGACTGAGTCAGGAGGCCTGGTTTTGGGCAGGGCTTTGGAGCTAATATACTGTAGCTTTTGTAAGCTCACATCTTGGTTCAGGCTCTAGTTATTTTAAATCTGTGTAACCCTAGGAGTAGACATCGGCTTGATGCTCTCTAAGGAGTCTGTATCCTGAAATCTTGCCACTCTGTTTAAGATTCTCCTAAGAGACCCATTGGTTTGGGTTAAGATGATGCCTACCTGGTAGCTTTTATAATAGGATACTTAGGAAAGTATTAGCTCAAATATTGGCTTGTGCTTAACAGCTTGTGTGAGTCAGCACACAATGCAGACCTATTGGAAGTGCCTAATGTTGGGGAGAACACTGCGTAGTCCCTAAAGCAGGGGAGTCTCCAAAGTCACTGACCACATTCTTTACTTTAGATGTGTTCCTTAAACTTAGAACATTTCCTCATCTCTGAAAAACTGGACAACTAATGCACATGTCATAAAGTTGATGTGAGGATTGGAAGAGAAAAGGTAAACGAGACACCGTTTAAAAATTGGCCTCATTGACCATAACTCAGAAAATGTGAGTCCCCACCCTTGTCCCGAGGGTAGCAGACATGTAGAAAGGGAAGGAAACTTTCCTACTGCGAAGTTTCCATAAGAGCCACCCCTTTGTTAAGTATCATCTGCCCATCTTAGAAAATGACATATTGGGAAGATAAAAACAGACAAACAGATTCAAATGTGAATCTCTCCAATGCTCATTAAAATATTGCCCTCTTGGGCAGGGGATTTAGCTCAGTGGTTCCGCCGCCTGCCTCGTAAGCACAAGGACCCGAGTTTGATTGTTAGTACCAAAAAATAAATATCGCCCTCTTACATGTAAAGAACATTTTGCCTGACTGAACTTTGTATTTTTCTTCTAGTCTATATGGAGGCCAAGCTGCTGTAAAGAAATGTTACTGCCTATTGTTGAGAATTCCGGATTTCATTATTGTGGTGTAGAATCCCGAGGGGCTACATAACTCACTGTTCTGTGTGCACTTGTATGCACATTTGCATTTCCATCATTTTGAGGCCCTTTCTGCCTCTGACCATAAAATGCTGACTGTCTTTGTGTTACCAAATGCTAGGTGTCATATGTTGTAGGTTAAATTTATCTAGTTGAGGAACAAAAGAGTGTCAAACTTAACTGAAACTGGTTTTTAAATATAATAAATTATGTGACTATCGGTGGTACTTAGAAGTTAAGGAATGCTTCCCCAAATAGCTCCAATTTCCTGCAGTTCAGAATAGTCACAGAAATATTTTCTGTAATGGAGAGGGAAAGGGCTACATTTTCATATCCGATCTCCTCATGCTCAGCTCAGCACACATTGAAACAAGGGATGAAAGACAAGGTCCCCAAGCTCTGCAAAAAAATCACACATAAAAACACACTGTCATGATTATTTTTGGACAAAAGAATTATGTAGTTTTTGAGCTCCATGTAGCTTTTATTACTCGTTCCTTGGTTCTTTGTGGAAATAACTGCTTTGTCCATTCATGTGATGGTTGTGCCTGCTGCAAAGCTTTATAAAATATTCTGGGGCCATGGGCTGTGCCTTGAACTTCTCATACCCTGCTGGGACACAGGGTGAAAAGCATGAAGTTGGCACGAAGAGGCTGGGATTCCAATCTCAGGACGGTCACTTCCTAGCTATGTGACCTTGAGCTTCCCATCAGCCTAATAGTCATAGGAGCTGGCATTTGTCACATTTGGCCCCTGTGCCAGATGCATTGCTCAGCACACTACATACACTGTCTCGTTTAATCCATTGGACAACTCCTGGCCGGGGTATTATTGTCACTATCCACAGAGGAGCCCAACCTGAAGGTGAGGGGTCTCTGAGTGACCATTATCTACCTGACTGGAAACTAATCTGTGCTCTCCCGCCTTACGGGCCATGTAGATGGGATGCCTACTGGATAGGAAATGCTTTCCTATAATACAGAGAAAACTGTGTCTCCTAGTACAAGGGACTCATTTCCTTTGAGAGCCACTGATTTGTAGTCAGCACCAAGAGTAGGCTGAGCTCAACTAGCATGGGTCTGACTCGGCCATTACCTGGCTCTGGCTGGTGATTGGGAAGGAGAGAGGCTTGTAGAGAAGAAGTGAGGGCTGACTGGGCAGGGTTTCAGTACAGCAGAGAAGGCTGAGAGTGAGTCAGAGCCAAAGGCAAGGAAGGGAAGGGCCTGATGGAAGGGGTGAGAAGAGAAGTCATCGCCACGGTTCATGTCAGTTGAGCAACAGGGAGGACGCAGAGTCTGCTCCGGAAGGTAAGCACAGTCCCTAGGGTCGGCTAAGGTCTGCCCCTATGAGGGGCCTAACTTTTTTTTAGAGAGATCTTTTTTTCTTGCCAAATGTGCTTCCCATGAAACTGTTAGAAAACACAAGAAAGTCAGAAAAATTAAAATCACACATCTCACCGAGCAACTCCAATTAATGTGAACATTTTGTGTATTTCCCTTCAGTCTTTTTGTATGTATATTCTGACATAATTGGGACCAAGACATACAGAATTTTGCATCTTGTATATTTCACCTAACATTTTCAGTACATTTCATGTCAGGTGGACATTGTTTCAGTAGCTGCATTGCTTTCCCATATATAAGTCACCATAATTCATATACCCTCTTCCCTCCCGACAAA